ACTATCAAACTAAAATAGTGAGAGACTGAAGTTCTCAAATGACAATCTAATAAGTCTCAAATGACAATCTAATAACTAGACTTCAACGAAAACAAACCTTTGTGGATGAAGAAATGTTGCGATACTGTGCTTGCATCTTTGAATGACTGCGGTGCTGCTGCTGAATGCGCTCCAGCTGCTGCAGGCTAGAAGCGAAGTTTATTCCATTGTGAACACACTTTGTTCCTTCATTTAGGTCACCATCTCCAATGTGATTAACATCCAAAAATGAATTTCCAGATGATATTTGCTTGAACTGTTCGCCACTGAAGGCAGGCACAGTTTTTAATCGAGTCCGTAGAATTTTGAAGGCTACACTTTGCTGCATCAATGGGAAAAGAAACTAACAGTTCCAAACAGCAGCAAACCATGCATATAAATCATATAGTAACATTTAAAGATAAAAACGATCAGGAAGGCACAGTTTTTTAATCGAGTGTGGAGAATCTAGAAGGCTACTTTGCTGCATCAATGGCAAAAGGAACTCACAATACCAAAACCATGCATATAAATCATGTTGCAAAATATAAAAAAGAACACAAGTAGAACCTATACTCCCTAAGAGAAGAAATGATAAAGCCCTCAAGTTAAATAATCACAAGATTCATAGATTATTTTGTTTTTGGCATCCAATTTAATGAATGAGTAATATTAGCTCAAGCATCAAAAGAATGTCTTGACAAAAAGTACACCATGCTTGAAAGATATTTTCCCATTATCTAGGCGATGAATGGCACAAAACGAAGGCAGGAAGGAATAGTACTTACATTATCAAGGAACAAAAAAATCTCTTAAGAACATCTGACAACACATGAAGACTAAAAAACATGTTGCAAGAATTCGACTATATATTCTTTCAAACACATCTGAGACAACACATACAGGCCAATAAACGTGGTGAAGATCTAGTTCAACTTGTGAGCAATCAGCAAGTGAAGGCCCGAACCTTTTCGTCAAAACCAGAAATGATTCAAATAATCTCAACTTTAATTGATTGATCAATTCACTTGAACTAAAATTGAAAAGTTGGATTACGAAATTGAAAAACATAATTTTTGAATTGGATCAAGACTTCCATATCATTTTTCTAGTCTATTCTTTCCAGTGAAAAGGACAAAGAAAAAAAGGAATATTTTTTGTCCAAAAAAAGAACACGACATCACGGGCTAACTATTCATGCAAAGAAAAGTCAGAACTCATTGTCAAATCCATTCAATGAATTAACTATAATTTAGACTTGAAAAGTGAACTGCATATAAAGGGTGCGTTTGAACCACATTCTTTTTTAAGAATGTATTTTGGAATAATAGATTGATGGAAAATGTGCAATTAAAAAAGAATGAAAAGTTTTTGATTTACGAGTAATATTATTTCAATGAAGAATATGTAATTGAAAAGAAGCGAGAGAAAAATGTATTTTAGAAGAAATGGGAATCAAACCCCAAAATTAATACTTTTGCTTACTTGCACACTGAATCAAGAAACTTGGATTACAAATTTTTTTAAAAAGCCAGTGATGTCAAAAAGGAAGACTAACTTCTGTTGAGTTCCAGTTTTACATACCACGATTAAAAAAGCATTATTGCATAAATTTTTTGCGAGCCTTGGTCTCAAGGTGATACGTAGCATGTTGATGTTTCCATGCGCAGAAACTTTGAAAACAAGCGAACATATACCTGGGGAAGGAGCATCAAGAGACCATACAAGGCTTTCAACAACCATATATATCTTCCAGGTTCGAGGAGCTACAAGAGAGAGAGAGAACAATTAAGAAACTCCACATCGTACAATCAAAAATAATTTTGTAGAAAACTAGAAGACGCCAATTAATATTTAACAGTATCTAGCAATACAGCCATCAACCTAGAACAAATGCGAAAATAATTAAGTCCTGAGCCTCTACCAGTGGAAGGAAGAATATTAACCATCTCCAACAAACACAATGAACATCTATGAGAAGCATGACTGCCAACTGCTCAGAATATTCACTTCACAAGTCTTATATACAGCTTATTTAATGTTTAGATGTATACACATGAGATAGAGAGATTCAACTAATCATCTTCCAAGATATTTAATCACAGTGAGGCAGTAAATCAGAAGGCAACGTTCGGCCA